TGTCGAAACGATTGAGATATCGATGTCGATATCGATACCCGTCACGCTCCCTTTCGCCCGACTTCGATTCTCGATTTTTAACTATTATTATACATTTAATCGTGGACCGACGTTTGGGAAAATGAAAGTACGTTCCGTCTCGTAGAACTTCTGATTTTCTAATTCGGAACTCCGTTTTGTATATATATATTTTTTTCATTTTTCTTTCACGTTTAATTCCGACATTGGCGATTCCTCATTCTGAGATTGTACTGTACGGAGATGTGCGAGAGAGAGGAGGAGAAAAAATCCGGAAGTCAATGTCCGACGTCACAGTGTCAAGAGGGGGGGCGCCCTTACAGACCGGAAACCGGAAGGTCGAGGGAGGTTCGCGACCTTCTCCCTCTCGGAGGTCCCTTCCGCCTTCCTCGGATCCTACACTGGGAAAAAAGATTAACCGACCGGGAAAAATATATATAGTTGGCTGAATCGTATATTTCGGAGGATTTCCCAGGATCTCGTTGCCGCGATGCATACTTCTTTGAGTGAACCGACTTTCTTACTACCCAGTATACAATCGATAGGAAAAAAAAAAGGGGACGACTTACGGCAAGATATAAACTCGAGAGATATCGTGAAAGTTAAGCGACATCGGGCGCGGCCCTTCCCCAGGATGGGTGACCGCGATGCAAAACCCCGACTACCGGGCGAGGACCCAAACCCCAAAGAAAATCCCAGGTCCCCTCGAATTCCTCGGCCTTTACATCGCCGAGCAAAGGGAAATCCGGCGACGAATCGATCGAAGAGAGGAGCCCGTCTTCGTCGCCTTCGGGGTAGGATATTCCCATCCCCTCGTAAGCGATTCGGGTCCTCGGGGTCGTTCCTCCACGGCGGTCCGCCGGCCGGTCCCCGCGACCCGCCCGCCGCGCGAGGTCGGGGCGTTCTGAGCGCAGAAGCGAGCCGCGCGGCCTTATATACCCCGCCGCCGGCGGCGCGCCAGGGCTCGTGGACTCCCGCAGGGCACGGCGCTCGGCGTTCCGCGTCCGGTCGTTCCCGTATCCAGGCCGCGTCGTCACGCTCGGCACGTTCCTCCCCCTCGCGACCCTTACTTCGATCCTGCCCCCCCCGGGCGCCCCGCCGCGCCGCCACCGCCCTGTCTCCGAGAGAGCCACCCAACCCTGCGGGCTCCACCGACCTTCCTCCGCGCGCGCCGCCGGCCGAGTGGCCGAACCTCGGGAGTTCCACGGGCCCTGACCGCCGCCCTGGTTAGGTCTTCCCTGGCCCGCCGTCAGTCCCGCTCCGGCAGGCCCCGAGAGCGGACGCTCTCCGCTGCGGGGCCTCCGCAGGCATGAATTATTCCCCCCCGGACCTTTAACTCCCCGTACTCCGGGGGAGGGGGGGTGTCCCGGCTCTCGTTAACATTTCACGAAGCCGAGGATGACTCGCACCTGACCATCGGGAGTGGACCTACCCTGGGCGGCGTTTCGGTTCCATGTATACGTACGTGCATGTATGTACATACATAGCGAACAATGAGGGGGCTGAATAAACCGGGGCTTCTTTTTCGTTAATTAGCGCGAGGAGGACTTCGAGGGAGGTTTACAGAATATCAAACTAAACAATACCGGAATGGGATCGAGGTGTGTCCGCCGTTCCCGGTGTAAACAAGGGAGCGCCCTGCGTAAACCGCTCGGGGGTGGGATTCGACCGGGGGAGTTATCCTCCGGTTTTTCGGCCCTCTTTTCCCCGCTGGGGCGGAAACGAGACGCGGTGGGAACGTCGCGGCTGGCCGCATGGACTTTTCGTGGATATCCGTGCACCCGGTGGATTCCCGGGGATCCAGGGAGTGGGAATATGTGCTCGATCACTATACGAAAGGTGTGCCGGCCCATCCCGGGGGAGGGAACCTAACCTCAAAACCACCCGAACCAAACTCCAAATCTACGCGAAAGACCTCTCAAACCGAACAATAAATTCCGCGGGACATCGGGAGACCCTCGATAATTTGAAGAATCTCAAAATGAGTCTAAATCCTCGTGGTAAGAATTTTCTGGGGAAGAGTTCCCAGGTGGAGGGAATTCGGGACACGTTCCAAGGACCCTCGGGTGCCAGGAAAGCGGGAGGGTCATTTTCATTTTTCTTTCGACGCGACTCGATGTAATCCACCCTCGAGGATCATCAAAACGGGGGGCGGCGGAGGGAGGGCTATCGAACAATCGGAGGTCGTGTTTCCATGGGGAAACGGGCCCGCGACGCGGGGGGTAAATACTACCCAGAGCGAGGTTAAGGTGCGGCCGAGAGGTCCGCGGGTTCCGGGCGATCGATCGCGGAAACGGGGAGAGAAAAAATAAAAAAAGAAAAAAGGGGGGAAAAGTGGTTCCGGGGGGTGAAAATTACGCGATAAGGTAGAGAAGGAACAAGGGAAAAAAAAACACAGAAAATAAGAAAAAGGTAGGAAAAACCCCCGGCACGAGAGCGAGCGTCACCTGGGAGACGCGTCGGGTCGTCCGCCGTTCCGCGAGGCGGACTCGCCCCCAGCGACGCCCGGCGGTCGGCGACGGTCGCGAGCGCGCCCGTCGGTAGCGCCGGTCGGGCGGCGACTGGCAGCGACCGGCGGCCGGTCGGCGAGGTGAGAGTCGGCGAGCGGTGATTCGCCGAGCCGCGACCTCCGGGGCAACGGGTCCGCGACTGATGGCGCGTCTACGGACGAGGACAATGTCCCATCACACCAGTAACTCTCTAAAGGCGTACTGCTGTGACAGGACAATATCCCCGGCAGGACGAAGATATAGGAAGTCCCTCGGAAGGCGTCGTCGTCGTCTCGGTCCACTCTCGAGGAGATCTTCCGGTCTCTTCGAGTCTCTTCCAGCACACCCCCGCACACGCCCCGATCCCTCTCTCTCTTCGGAGGGCCGATGCCCGATGCACCTCTCTCCGTCTCTCCTCGTCTCTCTTCCTCCGCCTTTCCTCTCACTGCCCTCTTCCTCCTCTCACCCTCCCCCGCCCCGCCCTCCCCGCGTTACTCGCGCCGACCGAAGAGAGGTTACGCCGTCTCTCAGCTACCCGGTTGAGCGTCCCGACGGCACTGCGTCGGCCGCGCGGCGGCGCCTCCGCACCCTCACGCCCGCAGCCCCCGCCGCGGCCCGGCCTGCGCGGCGCGGCGGCGGAGGCTGGGCCACCCCTCGCCTCCCCCCGAGGGGCTAGGGGCGTATTGATCCACCAGCTGCGCGCTCTTTCACCCACGCCTCCCCTCGCCCTCCTGACGAGCCCCTGCGCCCCTGCGCCCCCCTGCCACCCCTCCGAAGGGGGCCGTGTGCCTAAACGAGGAACGCGTACCGTCTTTGCGGGGCGCGCGGGCAGAGCGTTACGACCCCCCCGGGGGACGGCTGGGCCGCGACTGGGACGGGGGACGCCGGAACGCCGGCGTGCTGCCCCCTCATTGGCTCGCGCCCCCCGATCCTCCGCGCATGCGCCGGCCGGCGCGACCCCAGCGCTCCGAGACACCCTGGCGGGCCTTCGGGGAGTCTGGCGCGCGTTTGGAGCGCTGCTACTACCCCCGTATGGATTTCCAGGGACCGCCGACCATCGGCCGTGCCATTTGGATGCCGCCCCTTGGGCCGGGCGCTTCGACGCCCCGGGCGAGGTTAGGCCGGGTTTTCAAGGGGGATGATTCCTTTTTTTGATCGGATCGATGAAGGGAATTCTCCGGGATTATTTTCAATGAAGAAAGGAGGGGGGAAATGGGAGAGGGAATTACCTGTTTATGGAGTAAAGAATGGTTGTTTTGTTTAATGGGGTTTGGATTTTTTTTTTTTTTTCTGGAAGAGGTTATGTCGGACTTTATGGGGGGATGGACGGGGTGGTGATTTGGGGATCCGAACGGAGGGGCAGCGCTGCAGGGGTAGGCGGTAAGAGGGTCGACGTTCCCTCGGAGAGAGCGAACCTCGGCTCCAGGGGAAATCCCGCCCTCCGATTGGCCGCTTCCGTTCGACCCTCCGCCTCGCCCTCCTCCAGGTGTTCGATCACTGGAACACCCTCGCGAGGATCGCTCAACGCCGCGCTTTTAACCCTCCTCGCCAATTAACTCACCTTGAGGACCCTAGGATTCCGCAGGTCGAAGAACCGCGGCTTCGACGGGATCTCCCAGCGCTGGTCGCCTAACCTAAAGAGAAACGTGGAATGGTCACGTACAATGTGTTTTGAGGTTACCTTAACCGACGATTAAATCTCTCGTTTATATCTTTAGTCCTACACCGAGAAAAATGAATTCTTTTTTTTTTTCCCCTCATAACTTAGTCGATATATTTTCAATAAATTCCCTGAAATTTTATCGATATCTTGCCGTTCGAGATTTCCCTCGGAAAATCCCCGGAAATTTTCCGCAATGTCCAAAGTATGTTAATTAAATCCCAGTGATCGACTTACTGCACGTCGATGGTCGTGACGAAAAGTCTATGCCAGACGAAGAGCGGGATGGCGACGATGACGACGCCTTGAAGGAAAATCAGAGGCAGGAACTGGAATCAGAAAATTGAAAAATTTCTCCGTAAATCCACTTTCAGGATCTCAAGATATTCGGCTATGACTTTTGAGTGGGAAAAAAAGGGGGAGGACTGGGGGGAGGGCTCAGAAAATTATGGCGCCTCGTCGTGGCGTTCCTTATTCAGTTTCCCCATCGCAGGAGCCCGGCACTCGAGGTAAAAGCCCCTGGTCCTGTTTTATTCACGCCGTCCATGAAATATCCAAACTGTTTTCCTCCCACGTCCCGTCGAAACGGGGAGGAGGGGAGGGAAATGGAAAAATGGGTCGTCGAAAAGCGCAAACGCGCGACGAGTTCGTTACCCCCTACGCGCGAGACCACTGAAGGGTATTTTTTTCTCCGTTTCTCCCCCCGACTGGGGGGTTCCTCTCGGCGGAAGAAAAGACAAAAAAAAGGGGGGGAAAGAGAAAGCGAGAAAATGTGGAGGAAGGATTTCTTTTTCGGGCTAGGAGTGACGGCCGGTCTTTGGTTTCTGTTGCAGCGCCGGCATGGAGGCGAACGGGGCGATCGAGCACGACTTCCACAACGCCCTGGTCCCGATAAACGGCAGTCACTCGGGTAGTTCCGGTAGGAGCACCCCCAATGGGGGTGACCCTGCCCCCGGGAAGCTCTTCGTAGGCGGGCTCTCCTGGCAGACCAGCAGCGAGAAGCTGAGGGAGTACTTCGGCATGTTCGGCACGGTGACCGACGTGCTCATCATGAAGGACCCCGTGACGCAGGTTGGTAGTGGGTGGTGGGTGGTGGGTGGTGGGTGGTGCAGAGGTTCCGGGGTCCGATGGGAGGGTACGGGTGATGCCTAACCCATGGGAACCCTGTTTTCTGTCCCCAGCGGAGCCGAGGTTTCGGTTTCATAACCTTCGCCGAGCCAGGCAGCGTGGACAAGGTGTTGAAGTGCCCGATCCACACCCTGGACGGCAAGAAGATCGACCCGAAACACGCTACGCCGAAGAACCGGGCGAAGCAGGCGAACCGAACGAAGAAGATCTTCGTGGGCGGGGTGAGCCAGGACACAAGCAGCGACGAAGTGAAGGCGTACTTCAACCAGTTCGGCAAGGTGGAGGAGACGGTCATGCTGATGGACCAGCAGACCAAGCGGCACCGTGGCTTCGGCTTCGTCACATTCGAGAACGAGGACGTGGTGGACCGGGTGTGCGAGATCCACTTCCACACGATCAAGAACAAGAAGGTGGAGTGCAAGAAGGCTCAGCCGAAAGAAGCGGTCCAGCCAGGGGCCCTGGCCCTGGGGAAGCGCGTGGTCCTGGGGGCGCTGGGTGTCCGACTGGCGCCGCAGCCGCCGCTCCCGGTGGCGTCGCAGATCGCGGCGGCCGCCCAGGCGCAGGCGCAGGTGCAAGCGGCAGCAGCCGCCGCGGCGGCGGCGCAGGTGCAGAGTGCGGTTGCCGGCTACGGGAAGCTCTTCGCCGCGGGTTACCCGGCGGCAGCGGCGCTCTCGGCGTACCGCTACGCCCCGTACCCGCTGCCAGCCGCAGTGGCGGCTGCAGCGGCCGCCGCAGGTCCCCCCCCGGCCCCGGCCCCGGCGCCCCCCCAGCAGGCGCAGTCGGCCGCAGCAGCGGCCGCTGCGGCCGCCGCAGCGGGTCCAGGCAACCCTTACCAGGGGTACTCGCTGACCAACGTCGACATGTCCAGCTTCCAGGGCGTCGACTGGGGCTCCATGTACGGCATGGGCATGTACGTCTAGAGGCGATCCCCCGCCGCCCCCCTCCCCAGCGCCCCCGCGGCGGCCTAGGGGGGAGGGAACCCCTTCTGATCTCAACGGATGTCACGTCTCGGTGATCGGCCCCCTCACCCCCCCCCCCAATGTTTCCTTTATCCGCAAATCGAACGCCAAAAATTCTGCGGATCCCAAGTCCGAGGGGGTGCATGCCGCTCGTTCCGCCTCCCCCCATCACCCCCATCCTCTGGGGGCGGGAGCCCTTCCGGCGAGGAGACGCCTTAACTTATTGCCCTAGGTCGTAAGGCCGCGCCAGGTTTTATTATTAATTATTAGTTCGTCATTTCGTGGTCATATCGTAAGAGCCCGGACACCCCGCGACGCGGTCGGGCCGCGTTGTCGGATTCGAAGTGTTTTCGAATTTTCCACCTTTTTCTTTTTTTTTCTTTTTTTTTTCTTTTTCTTTTCCTCCGTTGGAATATTCCAGGGTTTATCGAATTACGATTCGATGGATTAAGGGCGGGGGAAGACCTTCGAGGTGCCTCGGCTGTTTCGGTTCCTCCTTTTCGCTTTTAATTCCTTCCTTGTTCTTTCGTTTCCGTTCCCTTCGTTTGATTTCCTTGCTTTCCTCGGTTTCCTCGGAGTCACGGCACCGAGACTCTCCTCCACGTCGGCGAGCTCGGACGCCCTGACTTCCCGCGGTTTGTTTGAAAAACTTTTCGGTCATCTCGACCGCTCGCTATCCATCAGGGGCCTTTTCGGCGGGCGCGAAATTCGAAAAGCGCGCTGGCTCTTAAGCAATATGGCGGCCGCGGCCGAGTCTTCCGCAGGGGACGCCTCGAGGCCCGCCTTCGATGTATATTATATTTATGTGTGTACATAATGCATATTTATAAGCACACGGACAGGATAAGAAATAACCCTCCCGCGAAAAGGCCCGTCTCGTTCGGGGGACGCCATCTTTGATTATTACCTTCTCCCCTTATTTATCAATTATCGCCGCCCTTTGCGTTCGGCCATTTCCTTCGTCTCTCTTCTGAGCAATGACAGACAATATTCTTCCGCTCTCCATCTCGTGTATATTCGATATACACGTTGCATATATATATAAAAAATATATATATACACGTATACAGGAGACTCGCGCGTGTCCACGTGCACACACATAAGTACACATAAATACGTTTGTATACGTGTATCTGCCCACGCGCGCGAACCTCACCTAGTATTACATATGTACGTATAATATACGCGTACATATTTTATTACGTATCTTGTGTATATTATACGTATATCTCACGTATATATATATACTACCGACCGGGCGCTCCGACGCTTCATTTTGAGACGTTTTCGTGGAGCGATGTGAGAGTTAGAAGGGAAAAAAAAAAGAATGAGAGAGAGAGAAAGGAGAAGGACGAAGAGGAAATAAGTCGACTTACTACGATAAATTAGAAGTACTTAATCGATACTCCATAGAGCCGATAAGAGTGACGATACGCCCCGAGATTTTTCAGTCGGCGTAAATTCGAGTGAGAGAGAGAGAGAGAGAAAGCGTGTGAGTGCGAGAGGGAGAGAGAGAGAGATTAACGAGAGGGACACGTTGTTCACGCTAGTTCAATAAGTAATTAAGTGATATCTCGTACTCCAGTAAGTCGTTGCATAACTTATACATACGTACATACGCCACGTGCATATACATTCATACTCACATGTGTACGCGATATATCGATTAACTAGCGGATACGTAAAAGTCGGCGGGAAGAGGCGAGAAAAGTGAGGTTAGGAGAGCCGCCTTCCTCGGGACTCCACGTGGCGACCTCCCGGAGGACATTTCCTGCCGGGGAGGGGTCGTCTCCTATTTTTTTTTTCTTCCCCATTTTTTTTTTCCTGTCGCAAGAAAATGTGAAATTTTCGAACTAGCGGTAAAAAGAGAGAAAAATGGCGGACGGTCCGCGCGCGAGGGAGATCCGCGCGTTGGATGCGTCCCTGGGAATTTCGAGCAATAAGTGATTACTCAAACAATACCTATTGATAATTGCGAGGAGTTGTAATTAACTCGACTTAACTTATTTAAGCGTCGTCGGTCGGTGGCGAGAGGGAAGGAAGCGACGAGAGAGGAAGTGCGAGCGACGAGGACGATCTCCAGGATCTCCAGGTCCTAGGGATGGGTAGGGGTGACAGGGAGGGAAAGGGTTGCGTCCCATGGGAAAAGACTACGATCTCATTCGGGACCGTTTCGATCTATCGACTTGGACCGGGCGTGGTATTGACACACTCAACGCGACGGTATAAAAAGTATTAAAAAGAAAAAAAGAAAAAAGATGAACGGGTTAAGGGGGTGCGAAACTGGAGGGATGACAATTCTGTAACGATTCTCTCCGAGCTGGGTGCATCGAATCGTTTTCGAGATTTAAGACGTGAATCTGGAGGCCGAAAGGAAGGTGTCGACGGCCGTGAAATTCCACTTTTAGGAAGATTAAGAATGTTTAACGAAAATTTTTTAATAACTCCAAGTTTCCCGGGGGACGAGACCTTCCTTAAGGCCATCGTATTCGTGCTGCAAAGTTTTTCAGGCTAGTAAGAGCGCCTAAAGGCGCCCGACGTTTGGTCCAATATTGCCCGCACGGTCAGAGGAATTTCGCCCGTATGTAGAAACGAATGAAATGTCCCTGTTAAAAGGGTTGAAACGATTCGGTGCCTCTGTTCGGAGGAAAGTGAGGTAAACGAGACCTCTTTGACGCCACTTTAACATCCCCTTAAGCCTCGCCCATTTCGAGACCCACCCTGTACGTCGCCCGTTAATCGGCGCCGCCTCTAGCCGGAGTATCCGTGGTTATCAGCGATTCGTGACGTCAGCTAGCTGTTTTGTAATTGCGACTAAGTGTCGTAAGAAGTGCCGGGCGCGGCCGAGAACAGTACAAATAGTAGCTAGTAGGGTAATTACCGATGCTCTCGCGAGCGCGGCCCCGGTGATCGGGCGGCGTTCTAGTATCTCTTATCAGGACCGACCCGAGACGTGCACGGGGTCGAGGGCACTCGAGCTCTCAAAGTCTGAGCCAAGTACAAATTCGGCATCGAGCTCTCTCTCATGGCTGTGTCAGTAGACCACTCGTTAAAGTTCGACGCCGCTCGGGTGTCTTTTGGAAGGCTTTTGGACCCGACGGGCCAGCTCTCGACGTAGAAGCGTCCAGGAGTGGGCGCCCTCGTAAAGGACGATATCCCCATCGGTGCAACCTCCACTAAATTCGAAACGGCGCCCACTTTGGATCGTAACATGCCTTTAGATTTGGGTTATACTTAGAGTACAATGCCGGGGATAAATGCCCTCTCTCCGTGAACTCGTCGCCATTGCCCGAGGGGGACGCATTTATGTCCGCCACTGTACACTCGGGATTAATCGAGATTAAGGTTAGGTGGCCGGTAGGATGTTGACTCGGGATTTCCTAAGCGGATTAACGTTGTACTTAAAATCGGAGCCTACCTCGTTTATGGGAATTCACTTCCGGGAGTCTTAACAGTTAGTGTCACGGCTCGAGTTTCTTATCAGAGGTCTAGCACTCGAGGAGGGAAAATCGATCCCATGCACGTCTCTTCTACTCCCGTCCCGGGCCAGAAAGGTCGCGGATGCGCGGCACGACTTTTTATATTTACTTAGATCGACTTATCGTAATGTAATCGCCGCCTCTCTTTATCAGGATCTATTGTGACCTGCTACCTGTGATTCGTGATCTGCGATCTGTGATCGGGATCTGGGAAGTCGAGTGCCGCGCACTCTGCCGGCCAGCTGGAGAAACGCGCGGACCTGCGGGAGGCTAAGTGGAAGCTCCACCCCTCTCTGGGTGGCTTTTTCTTATCTCGGTTTTAGATTTTACTTTCGACGTCGCGAAATTTCGGCCCGTCACTCGCAAGTACTGCCGGGGAAAAGGAGTGGAAAAGAAGAAAAAAAAATTATAGCTTGCCAGTCTGTCTCGGAAAATACGAACCGACACCTGGGGGGTCGATCCTGTAACTCGAATCTAGTGAAAGTGACGAAAGTGAACACTTCCCATGATTCCGTATAACTTACACGTGAAAATGTGAGATACTTCGCGTGAGCCTGCTCGACAGGAGATTTCACGTCGAATGAGGAGATGTTTCACCCTAGAGGTTTCACATCTTCATTGGGAGGTTACAGAATTCGGTGAAAATGCTCACGTTAGACGACAGGGCGAGGAATGAGCCCTCTCGCGAAGAAACTACAGAATCGACCCCGTGAAAAACGTAGGCAGGGCGACAGGGAGTAGAGAAAAGAGGGGGAGGAAATAAGGATAACCCAAGAAGGAAAGGAATATGTACGCCCAAATCGCGTTACGGCTTTTCCCTGAAGTATCTTACGTTACCGGATCGATGGAGGGAAACGCGTTCTATCGAATCTCAAGATGGACTACGAAGCGTACCGCGTAATATCGGATGTTACAAGAATTGGGAATGAATTTCGATCGGCACCGCGTTACGTCGGATGTCGAAATTAATTTTGTGGTTTGCGTTAAATCGGATTTATTAATTTTCGAGGGGGGGGGGGGGGGGGGGGGGGGTACGCGTTATATCGAGTGCCGATGAATTCTCGACGGCACTGTGTCATATCGGACGTGGTGATTAATCCCTAGGGAGTATCGCGTTATATCGGATATACCGGGGTGAATATTGAAGGGGCCCGCGTAATATAATCAGGCAGCGAATTTTCGGAATGGTCGGAGCTCGAAAGCCCGAAAACAGAGGGAGAGACAGAGCGAGAAATAACGAATGATCTACGAGACTGCCTCGGTAAAAAAAAAAAAATATAACCAGCAAAAGGAAAACGTTATCAGAGAGGGAAAGAGAGAAAACTACCTTACCGCCTCCGAGACCGCGCGATTCCGAAACTCGTCACCCCCTACCTATCGCGTAAACCCGGACACACCGAAGGTGCGTTGTTGTTGTTGTTGTTGTTGTTGTTAATCAGTGGCCGTGGCTCGTAACTATAAACGTTGTTGTTGTTGGTATTATTACTATTGCCGGTAACTCAGGTGAGCCGCGGGTACCGCGACAAGGAGAGAGAAAATAAGAAGAAAGCGAAAAAAAAAAAGAGAGAGAAAAACACGAGAAGCCAAAAGTAACAAAAAAAAAAAGAGAGAGAGAACTGAGACGACAAAAGTTAACAAAATCGGGGGAAAAAAAGACCCGCAAAAAGATCAAAGGCAATCGTCCCGCAGCCTGAATTTGGTCAAGACTCGAAATTCGACGCCATTTTGTCCCTCCTCTCCCATCCTCCCCCTCACCCCTCTTCCGCCACTCACATAACCTCCCCTCATCGTTGTTGGTATTGTTATTGTTGTTGTTGTTGTTGTTAATGATAGCGATGGGCGTCGTAGAGAGTAGCGAAAGTAGTAGTAATAATGTTAACAGCAGCAACAGTGGTACCTCGCCTAGTGGTTGCGCGCGCATCCGTACGTGTACTCGTATATACGTCGGTAGAGTTTCGAGCCAAGTACATTTATTCAAATGTACACATCCATAACCTGACATGAGACATGAAGATGTTCTTTCGGTTCGATCAACTTTTTTACGTCGTAGAGTGGTAAAAACAATTCCCGATTTATCACATTGCCCACGTGTATACAGGTACTGTATCGGGCACATGGAAATTAAATTCACCCTTTTGTAAATTAAAATTCATCAGTTTGCAAGTGAGATTGAACGTTTCGCAAGTGATCCCAAGGGAAGTTGAATTTCGGGCTGGAGAACGTGTACACCGTACGCATGCGCGCGCAGGATTTCTAGTTAACAGCAGCAGCAGCGGCGACGACGGCGGCGGCAGCAGCGTCAGTAGTCGTAGTTGATGATAACAGTAGCAGTAGCAGTAGCGGTAGTTATTGGTGTAGTTAGTAGCAGTGCGGCAGTGCGTTGGTAGCAGCAGCAATAAGCCTGTGACGTAACCGGTAAACCCGCGGCCATTGAGGGCGGGGGTATTCGGTGTGAGCGCGAGATCACTCTTTTTACCGTCAATTGCAGCACGCGAGAGGCGCGTGCGCGCGCATCGCCTCGCCTCGCGCGCGGGAAATTCAAAATGTCCGGGCGGTGAATTGACGCCGGATTTGAAAACTGGAAAGTAAATCCGGTCGCTTCTAATATAGCGAGTTGGTAACCATCCATGGCATGAGAGGAAGCTCCGTTTTCCGGGCATTTTCTCCGCTTTGAAAGTATCCCCGTTATCGATATCTCTATATTAATCGACCGGTGAAAATGCCCGAACGAGAGCTCACTTGGTAGGCGGATAATAATATTCGTTGGATGTGTTCAGTATTCAGCATGCGGAGGCGCTTATCAGTTTTAATCGGATAGCGATGATTACGTCAGTTATCAGTAGTTATCTGTACTTTTTCCTACTTTGGGGCTTTCCGAGACTTCCCTATGGAGACGTGCGCGCGCGCGCGCGCGTGCTCTCTCTCGAACGCCTATGTGTCAAGACCGTAAATTAGTTTAGTTCAGATGCCTGGAAAGATTGCCAATAAAGTAGTTTAAAACTGGTAGCTAACACCTCTGTGTACTTCCTTGGATTTTTTCTATCACTTACCACGTAATACATCTGTACATCTTACCCCTAACTTAGAGTACGAGTATACTGTGTCTGTATATTGTTATTTCTTGTTCCTTTTATATATATATATATATATACGTATGTACACGTGTGTTCAGGGCGAGTCCTGGAGGGCCATTTTGAAAATTTCATACAAGATTTCATAAATGATACTTGCTAATCAGGACGTGATAAGCATTTCTTGATTACTGCAAAAAATTATCCCAATACAAAATGTACAATATGTACGATAAAATTATCCCAATATACAGTTCAAGGGGGGGGTGTTAGTTTGACGCAAGGAAATTTCATGAAATTCGGACATGTCACATGACTCGCCCTGTATACCCTAGCTGGCTGCGTTTGCGGAACGCTCTGCTGTCGTAGGTGCACCAAGGGGTCTCGCTGATCGATTATTATCATACCAGTCGAAATATGCCCCTAGCCCCCTGTATGACGGCTGCATTTGTCAGTTCCCTATGTACCACCGGGATTGTCAGATATCAGACTGTTAAGGTGATATGAAAGTGGCAGGGGTCTCGTTCATAATACTCTTCACCGAACTTAATGTACCGAGTCGTTCCAAACGAAAAGTAAATATTTTTTTGGGAAAAAAAAAGAAGAAAAAAAAAAAGAAATGCTGGACGGCATTGCTCTGCGTGGCTCCTCGAGGAGAAATGCAAAATCTCAATTTTATATATATATATGTGTATATAATTATGTATCATCCCCACTTCGTTAATTAATCCTCCCGGATTTTCGTTTCTCTGCCCTGAGATGGGGATTTCCATTGAACCGAGGAAATATTTGATTAATTCCAGGATTAATTATTTCACTCGAACTGGAATAAATTGGATGCGATGGTTTTTTTTTTTTTTTTTTTTTTCGGAATGAGGATTTATCCGAGGTCATTGGAGTAATATAATTATTCCTGGGATCAAGATGTTACTTTGGTTCGGTGAATTTTTTTTTTTTATTAAGGCCCATTTTTTGGTCCACCTTAGTCTTTTTCTTCAATTCTTTTCGTACATTTCTGTCTGACTATTCATCTGCCTGCCTGCCTGTCTGGCTGCCTGCTTAGTTGCCTGCCTGCCTGCCCATCTATTTTTCTACTTGTACATCCATCTCGCGTAATAATCCGTTAATTTTCAATTGTCCATGAATTGTTCACCGGCCCTGACCTACCCCTACCTGATGTCTGCTAATCCGAGTGGAGATTTTCACCGAATCGTCCGTTTGCCAAGGAAAAGAAAGAAAATCGAAGAATCTTGGAAGACCTCATTTTTCCAATTATCTCTCGTCTAGTAAACACTGTATAGAATGTTTATTTATTAGCTCGTTTATTCAGTAGATCATTCAGCCTTGAATAGTTAAGTAACTTTTCGCTTTTGATTTCGCTCTCCGAGAGTTTAGGAATTTTATTAACTGTCCGATTAATTGATACGAACGGTAAATAGAAATTTTTTTTTTTCTCTTCCTATTTCGATCTGGCCGATTTTGTTCGTTTTTTCGTTTTCTTTCTTAGCTGTTTTACGCTTATATTTTTGGGGAAGTCCGTGTAATTTTGACACCTTTAACACACGAGCCTGTAATTCTTACTTGTAAATGACTGTTTAGAAGCAGCAGTTTTTTCATAGTCTAGTCCAGTATTAACATCACCTTAGCATAGTTAATCTTCGGATTGTATTCTCTGTCATGTTGTGTAAAATAATTTTCAATTATTGTATAGTCACTCGCCCGGGTAATTCGGCAATTTTCTTGTGGTAAATTGGGTGCACATGTGTTTGACTTGTGTGTCTGTACTTCTGTCAGTTAAATGATTTACCGTAATTATTGGCTACTTGCACCCAAATTACGTTACAATTGTTCGGCCAAATTATGCGCTCAGTAATTCTCACGGCAAGTTTTTTGAGATTGCCTAAGAAATAATTATGTACAACCACGGTGCATCTGTGTACTTGTCAATTTTCAAATTTCCGAGTTTTTTTAACTGAGTACTTTGTTCATTGATTCACTAATTAAACAAAGTAGTCCAGTTGAATTAACTGGTCGGAATGGTTAAATTTTTTGTTTTTGACAGCACAATTGAAATTTAAAATTCAGCAAACTAGTTAACTCAAATTTTACCACAAATTGATAACAACGAACGCAGATTTTATCTCGTGTCGGAAATAGTTTGCAGTATTTTATTTACGCGATAGGAAAATTATTTGACACGTAATAACATCTGCTGGGAGTTGAAAAAACAATTTTTTTTATCTATAAAAAAAAAGACTAACACAAAGTGATTTTCACGGACTTCCTCTATAAAAGCGGGAGGTTCTTTTGCAATGATAAAAGAAATACGAATGAGGCGGTATCGAATTTGTTTTTAACATGAAATTTTAAACGCCACGATTCAAATCGAATTTTTGAAAAAGGAGAAATTGATGAAATCTTTATTGCTCCAATTGGCATCTTGAATTTCCAGAAGGAACGTATTAAAATTAATTAAGTTAATTTAAACGAGCAGAAAATGCCCTGTCCTTTTATTCCCAAAAGTCGTTTTCCATCTTCGAAATTATTCTCATCCTAATATGGACGACTTCGATTCTTCCTTCTGGTAAATTTTTCCAAATTTAATTTCCTTCGTTTCCGAAATGAAACTCGGTTGTTATTTTTTTATCCGTCTTTGAAATCCTTCCTCATTCCGAGACACGAGCACGTAATGTCCATCCGGCGTTCGTCCAAGATGAGCAAATTCAAGAAACCCCAGAAATCCCGGGAAATTTTTATTTCCTCAGAGAATACCGCGCTTGAAGACTCATAATTAAGTTTTCAAACGAACGATAAATGAATTTTCTCTCGGTATGCTCTCCCAAGTTTCCCAATGAAGAATGTATTAACAAGAGTGCGTGTCAATTGACAGCGGTAAAGACCAACGGTGTCAAGAGAGAAAAAGAAAAGAGAGAAAAACAAGGAAATTCGCCATCTTATAACAGCAACGACCCTCTGAAATGATTTGCAAAAGATTTTACGAGAACGGCACCGCAAAGTGTATTTTTTATGTATTTTTCCTTGCATGAAGAAGAGACGGATTTGGCGGACCAATGGATTTAGTCTTTTCGGGTGAATTTTCCCCCGAACGAGGTGAAGAAGGTTTTAATTGAGTGGCGTCTATTTTCAAGACCAGATTCGATTTTTCGCGGCGGAGAGCGAAGAAGCAAGATGGCCGCCGCCGGGGAAGAAGCAACCCATTGTGTGAAAACTTCTCAGTAAGGACGTCGAAATCCCGAACTGGAGCGAAATAAAGCCGGAAGAGAGGCAGATTTTCTGGGAAGCAAGAAAAGACGAGGACTTTTTGTCCTCCCTTTCGCCAAGGGCGAAAAAAAATGAGAAATCTCGGAGACGCCGCGGGATCCAAGATGGCGCCGCCAGGGCGTCCTCTTTCCCGGTCTACGGAGCATCCCGTTTCCAAACCAGTAAGCAAAGGATCCCAGATGAGGAACTAAGGGTGAAGAGGGGAGGAAAAAGCCCCGGAAAATTGGAAGCAACGTCCTGAAACCTTTCGACGAGACCCGAGTGCCTTAAACTGATGTTCTATGACCCGAAAGAGCCCAAGACAATCGGCCGCTTGTGTCAATGTCAATGTCAATGTCAACACTGTCATCGGATGGGCCCCACATGACCAAGTAAGACGTTTCCTTAAATGTAGATACATATATGGATATATATACACGATATGGATATATATATATACACATTATATCTCGACTAGGTAGTGGATTGCAACGTAGAGGAGAGAGACTTAGGGTCGTAGAAACAACACCCAGGGGTTTTTCGTAGAGTCTTCGTAGAGTCTTTTGGAAACGCCCTGGCTCTTCCTCGGTAGAATGGTGTCAGACACTTGTTTTCGAGGCGAGTAGATTTTGGAGAAAAAAAAAATAAATACAGAAAGACGCCACGGGACGTTCGTTGCACCTGTTGCGTTGCGGCAGTCGCCACTGCTCCGATTTTTCCGCCGCCCTTCGGACGGTCGGAAAATTCTAAAAAAAATCAAGGCAACTCGGAAAATCCCCCTGAAGATTTGAGAAATTTTACCTAAAAGGGGAATTGAATTTCAGGGGGAGAAAACAGGTGCGACGAACCGACGCTCCGGCAAGGCGGCGAGAGACTTCAATGCCCGAACTGGTACTGACATTATTAGAGACAGCATCCTTAATTTTGCCTAGGACCTCTTTTTTCTTGCACGTCTATGAGTGTAGTCTAGGCAGTAAAGTTGCGGGGGGGGAGAAAAAATGCGAGAAAAGTGACGGCAGAATTTTCGCGACATTGTTTACCATCAATTCCGATTTTCCAAAAAGAAATCAGAAAGATATCCATGATAATTAATCATAAAAATTCGGTACCTCTCGCGTTCGTCTTGAAATTGAAAAAAAAATCGTTTCCCGTGCCTAAGCAAGTCCCGCGGAGGCCCCAATTCCGAAAACCCCTCCTCGTCGCCGACAAAGGGGAATTAAAAAATTAGAAACGTCACCGACGTGCGGAAACGACGATTCCTTAGGGAACTTCCAAACCGAAGGGTTATCGACGAGTGAAAAGTCGCAGTTATTTAATTAATAATTAATACGATTATCCCTGACGCGTAGCACGTAAGGTAAACCAAAAAGAGGGGGAGAGAGAGAGAGAGAAGAAAAGCCGGAAAACGAGAGACAGAAAAGAAACAGAAGCGTACTTATAAATTTTGGAGACACTTTGAACAAGGGACCCACACGTTTCGTCGCGTTTCTCGGCCTTCACATATTCACGCGAGGCCGCGTCTTGTTCTTCCATAATATCAATATTATCTACTTATACATACACGAATATAAATAATATACATACGGATATAATATATATATAAATATATAAATAATATATATATATATCTATATATAGGGGAAAATATCGGAGCGAGTTGTGTGCCTCTTATGCGACCACTCGTGTGCGTTTTAGTTGTTAAGTGCCCAGGTACCTAAACGAACGATATTAAAAATGAAAAACGACAAAAAAAATAGGTAAATCCGGTATCGCGCCCTTTCCTGGGTGGACTCGCGGAATTCGCGGATTCCTTCCCGAGTCGTTTTTTCTTTTCTTTTCTTTTTTTCATTTTCTCTCGACTCCTTTCCTCCGTGTCTTTTTCCTCCCCCCGACTTTCCTTACATTTTCCGTTCTCTGCCGCCGCGGAATGGACCTCGCGAATTCCGCGGCTTTTCCGGCTCGGCTCTTGTAAATAAATTCGCTTTTTACTCGCGATTCTCGATTTTTCGGCGCCGTGCTTTTTTCACTTTTATAGTTTCCCCCTCCCCCCCTTTATTTTTCTCGACTTCTACCCTCGAGGTAAACCACAATTTTTCCGGGGATTCACTGTTAAAAGGAACACCGTAAGTCTGTAGCAATTTTTAAGCAGACATGGTGCACTAATTACGTAGCATACTTTTTTTTTTTAAATAAAATGTGGAACGCACGGTAAAAATTTAGTACAGTGATAAGAGTGCACTGACACGGTAAACATATGATGTTACGTGCGTTTATGGAATTTCATATTTGTCATTCTCCCGTTTTACCTAACGATTTACGTTAATTTCCATCGACTCTTATCAGTGTCCAGAGGTGTACCGATTTTTCATGACAACCTCATTTCAAGATATACAACGAATGAAAAGACATCAATTTTATAACTCCACCGCGACATTACGATATACATATAGATATTGCGAATCTTTTCAATATTTCCGGGAAAATCTTGAAAATCTTGATAACGCCCGATAACGCCT